CAAATATACAATTTTAGAATTTACCGGAAATAGACAAAAAAAAAATAGAACGGAAATAATACTTTGTATTTTATATTATATATATACATATATATATATATATATCGATTTCAAAACTTCCGGAAATGCAAGAAAAAAACAAACGGTAAAATTCTTTAACTTTATTTTATATATATATATATAAACAGAAGGAAAAAGCAAAACGAAAAATTCATAGAATTGAATGTACAAATAAAAAATATATAAATTATTATGCCCTATACATTCTTTAAAAATGGACAATTTTGAAAATTTATTGTTAAATGCTAAAGAAAGTTAAAAATTTTAAAACAAACTATGATAGCATCTCCGATTTATTTACTTGCTTAATTTTGTTTATATCATTTATGCCATTCTTGCACTGTGCTATATGCTTTATCCAATTCATTAAGCAAATTGAATCGTTTTTGCTTAATTAAGGGCTAAATTTCATTCAATAATTATTCGTTTTGGTCGATTAATTAAATTATTATTATTATTATTATTATTATTATTATTATTATTATTATTAAATATTAATGTCAGTATTAATATTTTAATTTATCGGTTACTATTTTTAGTTTTAGTTAAATTTTTTCAATCCTTTTTCTTTATCCTTTCGACAAATGAATGTAATAATTTCACCGATAATTTGAATGATGTTTTACAAATGTTTAAAAATAAAAATTAGAATAATTCAAGCTAAATAGTTAAACAATAATTTAGCTTCCTAATTACAACATAATAGCTGAGGTTCCAATAGTGACAGACTTGTTTTTCGCTGAAATATTTTGAAATATTTGAATTTCTAATGATAATTTTCAACAGTGATAAATTGACTTTAAACCATTAATTTTCTATATGATTCCCAATAGTAATAATATAGTTCCTCATCAATTATTGATAAAGATCATTTCAAAATGCAATTAAATTTTTACCACTTCTAGATGATTAATTGGATAATGCTGAAGATATTTTTCGAAAGAAAAAAAAAACGAAACTATAACTGATTGAATTGCAAATAAATCGTTTCATTTGACATTAATGTCATTGATCAGTTATCGAAAATCAAAAAATTAAAATAATAATTTAAAGAAAAATTAAGAATAAAAGAGAAAAAGATATGAAGAGTTTAGAAAGCCAAAAAAGAAAAGAAAAAACAAAACAAAATAATAAAAAAATGAATGAATAAAGTTATTGAGCCAATACTATTGGATTCAATTACTCTAAAGCTAATACTTATAAGCCAATGTTATGAGCCAATAAAAAAAAAGAAAACACCATTAATTATAGATTAAATTCAAAAAGAAAAAAGGAAGAGTCTGGGTATTACTAATTAAATAATTGATAAATTTAGGAATATAGCATTAATTGTTGATTCATTGCCAAATGCGCTTTTTATACTTTGTTCTTAGCTTACAAAAAAGAAAACAGAAATTTTGAAAATTCCATCAATTTTTCATGTTGCTTTTTTTTTTTGTTATTTCTAAAATGCGGAATTTCCTTCTTTTTTTTTTTTTGCTTTCATATGGATGCGCAAAAATGCAACGAATATATTTTGGATCAATTTCTTTCTTCCTTTTTTTTTTTCTCTATCTCTTTCTACGATAAGAAAAATTTGAAAGAATAAAAATTGAAATATAGCAATCAAAGAAATTTTCCTCGTTATGTAATTTTAAAAAAAAAAGTCAAAAAAAGAAAAAATGATGGAAGAATGGATAAATAAAAATTTGATCGAATTTTCAATAAACTTTTTTTTGCAAATTTATTAGATTATACCATCAAATCTGTTACATTTTCTATTTTTTTTTAATTTTTGAGAATTTTTAGCAAATAAAGAGTAAAAATTTGTTTTTAACACTTACAAAAGTTAAATTTCCATTCAACGTACACCAATTTATGAATTATACATTTCAATAATTCTTTGATTTTTTTTCCTCAAAAGTAATTTAAGTAAAATTTAACAAACTCACAGCTTTGATTGCTTTTTTTCCTAAAAAGAAAAAAAATTTCCTTTAGAAAAATTTCAGTTAACAAATAGCAGTGATGCAGAAGAACAAGTGACGCATGGAATCGATTCATCGCTGTATCAACAGGATCCTGCTACTTCATGTAGTTCGATACCGGATATCCGGAAGAAATCAACTGCTGTACGAACGAGTAGTTCATGGCCCGAAAATGAATCACGACCAACTGGTCTTGGCTTGATTCATTGTTCATTGCAACATTTTCCGATTAGGAAACGTCTTCGTGTTTCACTTTTGAGAGCAGAAGGTTGGTTATTTGATATTATTTTATCATAAATTTAAATTCGAATTTTGACTTCAAATTTTAAAAAATTTACTGCACTAACTTTTGCTTAATTCTAAAGTGTTTATAAATTTCGGCATAATTTGTCTGAAACAATTCGTCCGAAATTTAATGAACTAAATTTTGAAAGATATGAGCTTTGTATTGAAATATTTGGAAAACAGACATATTGCTGAATTGCTCAAATACGAAGGCCAAGGCAATTTCAGAAGATTACTCTTACTGGGCTGCTGGCTAGGCTGATGGTTAGGCAAGTTATAGAAAATTATAATTTAACAATCGCCAAATGTCTTCCGATGATATTGCTCCAAGCAAGATCGATGACTTCAGCTTTAAATTTAAATTTCAGCCAATTTTAGATTGTGTATTAAAAAATTTTTAGAAAAAAAGTTATACTTGCTTCCTTTTATTCGAAACCATTAAAAGGGATTACTTTTTCTTTTTGCTTATTACTGCACTTTGCGTCATTCATTCATTTTGATATTTCTAAAGTCTTTATTATCTTTTCAATAAAATTCATTTCTCATTTAATATTAAGTATTAACTAATGACAAATCGTTTATCGAAAAAACGATTTCCTTTCTTTTTTTGTAATGGTAAACACTTCGCAAAATATTTGAAATTGAGTAAATATTTGAGTTCAAAATATTGGAAGTTTTAAATTAAATATCATTTCTTCCTCGTTGTTTTTGAAATGATATGAGAATTAAAAACTGAAAAATATAACAAGACAGAATATTTTTTTATAAAAAACGCAAAAAGTAGTGAAGTAAGTGAAAAGTCGAAATTATATGAGTGGATTTATTAGAAAATATTTATGAAATCTAAATCTCAGCACTGGAAATAATCAAATTGAAGTCTTTCAAGTAATTTGAGTGAAAAAATTTTTAATTTAATTCAATAATCTTCAAATGAAATGCACGGAAAGAATTGCAAAATTTTCTAATAGTCTAATTTAAGAAGATAAAATAAGATAGTGCTGAAGTCTATAAATTTATTTAAAAATTAATTTTCAACATTTCGAACAATTTGTTAGACTAACTTAACTAATCGATTTAGGATCGTAAAGAACCTAAATAAGATTAAATTTCATTTGTTTATTTTTTGCATATTTTCACGCAATATAATAGTTTACGTAAATGAATGACGTTAACAATTTGTTTTATACACTTATGGTGTTAAGTAGCGTTTTTGCACATTTAATTCAAACTGAAAATTTCAACGGAAAATTTATCAATTTGATTAAATTTACTTATAAACCTTTCAATGCGTATTCATATGTACGTAGAAAATCGTTTTACTTATTTGAATTACTTATCAAGAAAAGCGAAATTATCGTAATAGCACAGCGTTAAATTGAATATTTAATTAGTAAAAAGGAAATTTCAAACTGTAAAAAGAACTTTTTAAAATGATAATTGGAAGAAATGAAATGTGACATTTTGACAGTTGTCATATTTTGAAATTTTTTGAAAAAAGTAAGAAGATGGCAAAAAAACATATATCTGTGTAATCTTTTTAATTCTTTCTTTTTTTATTTAAAGGTCAAAGATCTTCAAGAGAGCTTTCTTTTGAGCTTTTTTTCTTCTTTCATTTCAAATTTCCAAGCTAATTTTTACTTACTCTATTAATATCGTTTTCTAAAGATCAATTTTGTTAATTGAAAAAAAATTTTTTTTTCCTTTTCATTCAGCTAATAGGACAACAACAAATATCAAGACATTAATCTAGAAAAATTGCTCAAAAAATTCCAATCTATTCATCTATCTATTTAGATAGATCTGTATCTATAGATAGAATCTATTTATCTATTTAGATACATCTATCTCTATCTATAAGTAGAATCTATCTACCTATTTAGATACATCTCTATCTATAAGTAGAATCTATCTATCTATTTAGATACATCTATCTCTATCTATAAGTAGAATCTATCTA